AATTCTATGTTAGAATTAGCTGTTAAATTTGATGATAACTACAACACAGGCTTAATTAAATCATTTATGTTTGGCATGTGTGAATAAAGCTGAAATTAAAATTATGACAGATATTTTAAGCAGATATAAATTTCAGAATTCTCATGGTATGCATATGATTCGAGACCTTAATAACTATTTAGTACAAAAAATGAATATTAAATTAGATGCAAGTGAAAATTACTCTACAGAATATTGTACATTATTATTTATGAATAAATCCTTTAACAAAATTAATTTTTCAAGTATATTTCAAAAATATCAATCCTTTTTTCCTATTAAAATATTATTATTAAAAAGGCTTTCAAATACAAGAAACTTGGTAGATTTATATTTAATTATAATCAAATCTCGGAGCTCCTAAGTTCAGAATCATGCAAATGCAATCTATATCGAGACTATATTGATGATTATCATCAGCACGTTGTCACTGGAGACCTTAGCATCGTGAAAGATGATTTGTTAAGAAATTTTATGGAAAAAGGTACCGGTTTTAGACTGATGATCACAAAAATTAAATCTAACGTTATGAAACAAATCATAAAAGATTTAGATAAATTCTACCTTAAAATTGCAATTAAATACGGAATGCCGATTGAAGCATTCAATCAATTTAGATCTTATGTAGCAACAGAAATTCGGGAATTAGATTTCACTGTTGAAAATGAAATTATGTATAAAGATCTTAAATCATCAATAGAAAATATCCAAAATGACTTCGTGATTACATATGTTGATAAGGTCTCTGCTAATTATGCCATAATTTGTAAATACTTTAACAGTAAATTATTATGTAACCACACTTTAAATAATAATTCCTTTCAAAAATCAATTCACATTAATAGAGAAGATGATAATCGTCTTTTAGCTTTGAACAAAAGACTGAATATTCATCTAAATAATATTAAATATCCAAGTATTTTTTTAACACCAAAATTTCATAAAAGCCCTATAAAATTCCGTAGTATCACTAATGGATACAATACATATATCACGAGGTCTGGGAAGATCTTACAATCTCTTCTTCAAAATCTAATTGATAATTTACAAAACACGGCAATAATTAAAAATAGCTTAGAGATTGCAAGAGTTACTAAGGATATGTTAATTTTTTCCATGCATGGCTTTGATTTCGAGGACCTTTTTAATTCTATAGATATTGACGATATGATTAAGGTTTTACAGTTAATTTATGATAAATATGTGAATTATATACTTCAATGAAAAAAGATAAATTTGATATTCTTGTTAACCTCGTATTAAAAGAAAATTTCATTGTATTTGATCAGAATCTTTATAAACAGATCAAAGGATTACCTCAGGGTGGTCCAGCTAGAAATTGTTTAGCGAACCTATATTTACATTTTTTTGAAATTCATCATGTTGTAAATGATTCTTACTTGATTCATCGTTATATAGATGATTTAATAATTTTTGGTAAAATAGTGAATACAAACCAAATATTACGTTCTACCCTGATTATCTCAAGCTCCTTAAAACTAACTTCAACTCTAATATGGTGGAATTCTTGGATTTAGACTTGCAACTTATTAACAATAATGTAGTCAGTAACATTTTTTGACAAAAGAGATTCGTTTAAGTTCCATATAATTAAAATTCCCGTATGGAATAGTAATTTGCATATATCAATTTACAGAAATATCATTTTGAATTTTTTATTTAGAAATGATAACTTAACTACCCACAAAATAGATAAATACAATAATATAAAACAATTTTTCAATGTTGTTTAGATCATGAATACCCTTTTAATTTCTTAAGAACTTATATTCATCACAAATACATTAACCGTCTTGCTACTTCGAATTCCAAAACCACCACACAACAATAGGATTTCAAAGTCAGCATGTTAGTGGTCTTGCTGTGAAGATTATATCATAACACTCATATCACAGTTTACATTTTTTCCACACACATCTTGAACATCTTACACATTGTTGACAACCAACCAAATTAGAGCCTAGCAAATTTACATTTTTGACAATCAACCAATTCAAATTCTACCGTATTTGATTGTCGTCTTTTTTTTTTTTTTTTATACCTGTCTTTGCTGGCTGGTTTAAAAGTCAGCTCAAAAGATGTGTTTATGTATTTTCGAATTTTTTAACTTGGTGAATAATCGATTTTCATTAATGTCAAGACGCTTGATTCTCGTAAAAGCTCTGTGAGTAAAGAAATTTTGTTGAATTATTTCTTGAAAGATACTTTTCTTATGTAATTGTTTTAGCATTTTTCTACTTTTCTTACGCAATTATTTTGTGATTTTTCTGCATTAAGAGTTTGGGAGAGTTTGTTACATAATAGTAATGAGTGGTTTTTTCATACTCTCTGAGTTATCCAAACTCTGAAGTTTTGTTTATTTTATTTTATTTGGTTTTCCTACCGAGTTGCAAAGGGGGAAGTTTGGCGTCTTCAAACTAGTTTAACCCCACTTATTCGGTCCTAAGTCCGAAATTGCTTTCTGACTCGCTAGGTTCTTCTTTTTTGTAGTTTCTTTTTTTCATTTCTCTATAATTTTGTTCTTCATGTTCAGGTTTTATATTTTTATTATGCTATTTCTTGTTATGTTCTTTATCTATTATTTCTTATTTTTGATATATAATACATATTTCTTTTATATATATATATATATATATATATACATACCAGGCGTATGCATATCAAATGAGACGATTGCTAACAGATGTCGCCACGCATATATGCAAACGATACGAAACCGTGACACGTGATTTTTATTATGGATTGACCTTTGATACTCATGTTTAGTTTACATTTGGTCGAGTTTCAGCGTGAAATTGTATTTTTTTTTACTGTGTTGAAAATGTCGAATTTTATGCCTTCCGACCACGATTTGCGGACAGCATTAACTTTTTGTTACCATTTGAAGAAAATGCTGCCGAATTGCATCAAATGCTTGTAGAAGCATACGGTGTCAATGCTCTGAGCCTTGCGCAGTGCTACAGGTGGTTTGAAAAGTTTCAAAATGGTGCTTTCGATGTGAGAAACGCGAGGAAAGTGGCAGACCAGCAAAAAGATTTGAAGATGCTGAATTGCAAGCATTACTTGATGAAGATGATGGCCAAACGCAAGAACATCTTGCAGAAGAATTGAATGTTGACCAGAGCACTGTTTCCCGTCGTCTCAAAGCAATGGGCAAGATATTAAAGGTCGGTAGATGGGTACCACTCGAGCTAACGGACCGTCAACAGGAAAGCCGAAAAGTCGTGTGCGAAATGTTACTTGCCCCCTACAAATGCAAGTCATATCTCTATCGTATTGTGACTGGCGATGAAAAATGGATTTATTTTGAGAATCCCAAGCGTAATCGATCATATGTTGATCCGGACAGCCGTCCAAATCAACCGCAAGGCCGAATCGCTTCGGCCGCAAGACAATGCTATGTATTTCCTGGGATCAGGAGGGACCAATCTATTATGAGCTTCTCAAACCCGGCGAAACCGTTAATATTGATCGCTACAAGCAACAATTACTTAATTTGAACGATACTATACTCGAAAAACGCGAGCAATACAAGAAAAGGCAGCACAAAGTGATTTACCTTGATGACAACGCACCTAGCCACCGTTCTAAACCAACCAAGGACATTGTTAAGGTGCTCGGCTGGGAGCCCTTAGCACACATGCGGCTTATTCGCCAGACTTGGCTCCTTCCGATTACCACCTATTTGCATCATTGGGACACGTATTGTCTGACCAGCGCTTCACTTCTTACGAAAACGTCAAATCTTGGCTTGATGGCTGGCTGGCCTCAAAAGACCGATCATTTTTTTAGGGAGGTATTCACAAATTGCCCGAAAGATGGGAAAAATGTTTAGCTAGCATTGGATATTATTTCGAATAAAGAAATATTAACAGTTTTCGAAACTTTATTGTGTTTTTTTAAAACAATCGTCTCATTTCATTTGCATACACCTGGTATATATATATATATATATATATATATATATATATATATATATATATATATATATATATATATATATATATGTATATACTAGCTGGTATACCCGTTCTTCGCACGGGTGAATTAAAAAATTAAACAATACAGATTAAAGGATAAAGAAGTTTTTAATGAGTTAAGTTTACGTGAATTGCAAATTAAATAAACAAACAGAAAAAAAGAAGATTTTGCATATCTCAGTTGAACAAAAAAACCATATTTGTTAAATTTTAAGTCTGCAGATCTAATAGCTGTTAAAAAGGATTTTTTTTATTTATAACGCCCGTAAAACTCTTGTAGGTCGAATTTTGAGAACACCTTCCTAAGCTGATATCTGCTCAGCAAAAGTGACACATTGCTACACATTTTGTGTAAGGAACGCTTAAAATAGTGTAAATAATTTATATCTGGATTTGTAATACATTAATATTACTTTCTGCTGTATTTATTTTATGTTAAATTTGCAATATTCGCAAGCAACGCCGTTTCTTACATTATATTAGCGATTCAATAGAAACATAGCGAAATGTTGGCGTTAAAGCCAAATTGAGATCATTTTTGGCGACCCTGTTGGCAACGGCGATTGATTGAATAGTGCAGAAGTTGATATGCTATAGCGCCACCTAGTGAGGAGCTGCAACAAAGAGGATACCACAAAAACTTTCTCCACAAAAAAAATACATATACATGCCAATTTTCATAGTCATCAGTGGAACGGTGTTGAAGTCATGCGGTTTCATACGTACAAACATCTATTTTTATATATATATAGATATCTTGTTCAAATTTCCAATCGTTAATAAAATATTTTCTATTCATCCATTCAATACATTTTGAAAACTTGTAGTGAATGACACTTGATGTTAATAGAGTTTTATCAAATATAATTTTAATGCATTTTTAAATTCAATTAAAAATGCATAAATAGTAACAAAAATAATAGTCCAACAGCCTATATAGAAAGGAAAATCGTTCGTTGTGTCCCTGCAGGGCAATGAATGGATAGCGCGTTGGACTTCTAATCCAAAGATGGTGGGTTCGAATCTCAACTGGGATGGTCTAATTTCTGACAATGTGATTTATTTTAACAATACAATTTTATTGAAATAATTATATTTAATTAATAAATAAATAGAGTAACAAAAAAAGTAGTTCAACACCATATATAGAAAGGAATATGGCAAACTGCAAGGAAAGTCGCTTTCTATTTTTACACTTAATATTGTGACTGTTATATGTAGATACATATTTATATTTTAATTGTAATTATTTAATAAAAAGTAACTAAAATAAAATTTTTCTTTGTTGACCTAAGTAAGAATTCCCTTACATTTTTTTATATTACTTGTTGTTGTTACCAATGCCACCTGATCAACAAAGGCCAGATCGAGGCCCACGAAATTCATCACGGCAGAGGACTTTGTGAGGCCTGTCGTTACCCGTAGCTTTAAGCACCATCCAGGTAACAGAACGATTTGGCTCGTTTCCACCCTAATTTTGAGGGAGAACACCCTGCGGTGGTCAGGAGCCTCCCACATCTCTTCCTCTTCCACCAACCTCACGAGAGGACTTGCGGCTCGACGGCTATTTAGAATACTCCCATGTCACGAAGAGGCGCTATACATTTACAAACAATAATGTCTTCTCCGGGATTTGAACCCAGGTCCTACGGCACAGCATTCAGCGTCGCTAACCACTATACCGGATATATTGCTTGTTTTCCTTTAAGAAAACAGTAAGCATCTAATTAAAAAATATTACGTTGTAGTAATGGCTATATGAAGTTGCATAGAAAAAAAACTGAATTGACATTCTTGATAGAAATACATTTGTTCCAGTAGTTTTTTCATTGGGGACAATTTAGTTATCTAGTCTCGGATGGCAGACCTTTCGATCTCTCTTTCCACGAGACCTTTCTGAGTCTTTGAAAGAGGGAAATCTTAACATTAAATGGCACCCCTTCGCGGCCTCCCTTCGCGGCCCCCCTAGAAAAACACTGGAGACCCCTGGGGTTTACTTTTTACCGTTAAAAACAGCTGCTTTACACTATTGCAAAAACTGAGTAATTGTGAATATATATATATACTTCTGAAAAAATAATATACCTGTGTATAAATTGTTCCTACCACTAAATTATCAAAACTTGTTGATCGATGAAGTATTCGAAAATATTAAATTATTAAATACATATAGAACTTCCTTTTATTGTATAACAGAAGTGTTGCCAGACCCGGTTTTAGTGGAAAGTTTTAAAGTTTAATATTTTTTTAAAGTATCAAAGATTACGTCAAGGTGCTATACAACATTATCAATTCAATTCAACAAATTCAAACATATAAAAGAAATACAATTTCCAATCTTAAGTTTCAAGAGAAAGTACACTTCTGTTTCTCAGTGTTTGTGCTGTGTGAGTAAAGATAATCTACATTTTATTTCGATTACCTTGTTTTGAAATATTGAAATGAATTTCTTCAGATCAATCAGAAAGGAAGTCTCCAGACGCAGGAAGATATTTTTTGTGCAAAAACCCATCAGAAAAATACATTAAAATGAGTCATACACGAATCAAATATAAAAAGCTTTGAAAGGAAAATCCTGATGCAAATAGTGTACAAATGGAAAACAATTTCAATTGAGCCAGTCAAACAAAAATTAATTTCAACACAGTCACTTTCAAAATAACATTAGTATTTGACTTTCAATAAAAATATAATTTTTAATGAATACATATGTAAAATATTTTTTCAATGTTTTCAAGTTATACATCAGTATTTCTCAAACTGTGGGGGAAGGGGGGGGCACGCTAACTCTGCAAGGGGGCGCGAGCATATTGAAAATTAAAGGTTTAAAAAAATAATTTTTTGCAATGAAGTAAAACAAAATGCTTTCTTCTTTCCACTTCAAACGCTCATTAGCTATCTTTGATCCTATAACCAAATAAAAAAAAGACATTTTGTTTGTTTTGTTGTAATCCCACGATGAGATATTTTTCTATTACGTTTCTTTCAACACCTAAAATATTATTTCTGATTATCATATATTTGACCTTCAAACTTACTGGTATGTTTCACTCCGTCTCTTTTTCTTTTAGGAAAGTTGTAAATAATATTTTTCTGCTGCTTTTTTTCCATGTGAATGAGATTTATGATAAATGAATAAGCATATTGAGTACTTTGAAGGATTATTTGGCCAAGATGTATTTTTATGAGTGTTCTGAAACATATAATGCACAACGAAAAACGCTTTGCCCAATTATTTTTTAGAACTGACATCGATGTTTTTATATTGGCTACATTTTTAACATGGGAGTGGTCGCATGAGTCGCAGAGTCAACCCAGGTTCACGAAATCGTTAATTCTGAGAAAACTGTTTATTCGTTAAGAGTGACCTTAGCAGTATCCTCCTATTAGACAGTCTTAATGGGAACTAAAATGAATTTGTCACAAATATGCCTCTTTTTGGAGAGTGGCAAGCGTTTTTTTTACAATCAAGGTACTTGTTTTGATCGAGTTCCCTGCGCGACCACTTTTGTTCAAAAATATTTTCTATGAACATGCTACACTTCCCCCCCCCTCCTGAACAATTTTGTGGTTTTGATTACTGTGTTGTACGACTTATTATGTTTTATAAATGAAAATGAGCAGATATAAGAAAAATGGGCATCTGTGATCTCTATTGAAGGAAGTGGAAACTGATCAAGCAATTGAAGAACCTGCTGAAATAAAGCATATTAATCAAGATAGTGAAAGTAAATATGAGAAAAGCGATAGACATGAAACGTTTGAGTTGAATTGAAACTTTCAAATGCTGCCTAAATAACTTTATGAAGAAAACTATATGAAGCCATAAATGTAGCCTTTCGCCTTGTCAAAAAGACACAAGGAAAAATAAGTTCAAAATGCTATTTGTAGATAATCAAACGACAACAAAACTACAATAAAGTGAACAAAATATGAGAGTTTTGCTGGAAAATAATGTCCTGTAATGTAAATATCCACATTTGGAACATTAGTTTTATTGGATTTTTTCTCAAATTATCAAAGAAAAATTGAAAAAACCTTGAAAGTATGTAAGTATATTTTCTCTTAATTAAATTATTCACTGGAATTGTGATTTTTATCATGTATAATAAAAATAATTATAAAATAAATTATAATTTAAAAACAAACTAAAAAACATGCTTTTATTGTAAATCGAACTAAAAAGTAAAAAAAAAAAAAAGTTTATATTACTTATATAAAAGTAACCTATATAAAAATTTAATACTTATCTTGCCAATATGTACGGTTTGTAATTATGATCGCATTATAGCTTTAGCGCACGCTCGCACGCACGCTCGCACGCACGCAGGCTCGCACGCACTCTCGCAGGCTCGCACGCACTCTCGCAGGCTCGCACGCACGCTCGCACGCACGCTCGCTCGCACGCACGCACGCACGCACGCACGCACGCTCGCACGCTCGTACGCACGCTCGCACGCTCGCACGCACGCACGCTCGCACGCACGCTCGCACAAAGTACATTATTATTGCATTCAATACATTATTATTTTTTGAGGGGGCGCGATAAAATTTATGTTTGAAAATTGGGTCACCAGTAGTGAAAGTGTGAGAACAACTGGTGTACAGGGAAACATGTAGAGATATAAAAATAATTTCTGAAAAAATTCCATTACAAACTTTTTATTTTTTAAGCAGTGTTTTTTTTCTATGTATATATATAAACACTTTTTTCTAATAACTTAAAAAATCAAAAACAATTACATCAGTGCTTTCAACGCCATCTGACATTACTAATTTGAAATAGCCCATACATGTATCCCGTTTTATACAAAGGCTAATAAAAAAATTTAATTCCGAGTTCTTTTAACGAATCTAATCGAAATTTTCCTTCACAAATGTTTTTGGTAAGACTGTTCCGTGTGGTTCATTTCTCAGAATAACGACTTTATTTGGCTTAAATTAACATCGCCTTAAAACGATACGAATTTTTTCCCCTGTAATGGGGCTGCGTATTGGTATTCCTACCTTTGCAGACCTAGTACCATTCTCCAGGAGTTGGTATCACTTTTTAGTGCGGCACCATTTTGGCCAGCAATACTCAAACTGCGATTTACCGAGCCTTTTTAAGTGGCCCAGTCCTGTCCCATTGCTCTGTGAAATTCTTTTATTTAAGGTAATGTATTAAAAATTTGGTGGAAATTCTTTGACAAGAAATCAGATACATCAATTTTAATTTTTTGCTGTTGATGCCGTTCGGCAGCAAATTTATATTGCTTTTCTATTAGTAACGGTTAGTGATAGCAGACAACAGTGGATTAGCGTCAATTTTATGAGTGGAACTAATTTTCAACAATCTTTCATACCTTGCAAGCGAAAAATATTCGAATGATTTGGAGGTTGACTGTTTTGTAGTGAAAAACAAACATGGAAATCAGCGCTTGTTTGATTTGTCACGAAAGGGCTGTATCTAAAAATACCAATAGACAAGAATTATTTAATGGCATTTTTTCTCTTTCAAGAGGTGGTTAATAGGCTATATTCTTTGTAACATCAACGAAGTGTTTCGTCAGTGGTAATGTCACAGTAGTAACAAAGACATCCTAAGAAGTTTGTACCTTGTACACCCCCGCTATTGTCGCTTGTCGCGCCCCCTAAAACTCATCACTTCTACGAGTTTTCTCATCCCGAGTGGACGTACTCTCCCAGTCATTCCGTCGTAGAAAGTGTTTCATTGCTTTAAGTGCCTCTTTGTCTAATATTACTTACCTTTAAATTCATTGTTAATTTGTTATTGTTGTTTACCTATGTTAATCATAATAAATATTTGTTTGTTATGGATTAAGGTTTTATTTTTCTCTCTTGAGTATTATCGACGTTAATTTTACTGTCGGCATCACGCCGCATTTAGGCCCCTATTTTCAGTTATATTATTGGTAATCATAGGAAACCGTTTACTGATGCAAAAACTGTGAAGGAGTGTTTCTTAAATTCTTTTAATTTAGTGTTAGTGACAAAAATAAAAAATATAAAAAATTAATAATTAATAAAAGCAAAA